GCCAAGGCATTGCAACTCAGTCCCTTTCACGTGTAAAGCAGAACTCTTAAGTCTTCAGAGGATCACCAGAGCGCTGCCCCTCACACAAAAATGCATATTGTATCTAGACAATTAAAACCCCCAGAGCACCTGTTTTCTTACAGGCTTCTTACAGCTACCCTGCCTGGGTGGCTTTCATTCACCTAAGGGAACTTTAAAATAAAAAAGCTGTGGGCTTTGCCAGGTGAGTCCTCTGAAGCTGGCTGGGCTGCACAGCGTGAATGAGAACAGGCAACGCCTGGTGCCAGAAACCAGATCGACCTGTTTACTTAGCCCAGTTCATGCACTCGCTTTGCTCCTGTGACAGGGGCCTGGAGGAGGGAGGGGCTCCCAACCCCCCCACTCCTTCCATGTGCTCATTATCTGCTTCTTCCCCGCTCCCCCCATGGGGAAATGGGGCTGTCCCTGACTCAGACCAGGCGGCATCCTCAGCCCAAACCTCTCACCCCCCGCCCCTGTCTGGTCTGGAACAGCACATTGGGGGTGCTCCCATGGTGCCCACAAATTCCCCCCACACCCCCTGCAATGGTCCCTTCTAGCTACCCACTACCTGCATATGGGGAATCCGCGTGCGTGTGTGTGTGTGTGTGTCCATCCCCACAATGGTCCCTCCCACCTACCCCCATTTGTGTGTGGGGATTCCCCCCTCACAACGGGGCCTCCTAGGAGGAGAGTGGGGTGGAGGCGCTCGCTCGTACATGCGGCCTTAGCTTGGGCTGCCTCCTCTCGCCTCTCTATTGTCTATGTCCCACGCAGCAGCGCCACGACGGGACCTAGCCCCAGTATGGGGTGGAGGGAGGGAGGGGGTCTCGTCACTTCCACATAGGAGTCTCCACTGGCTGCCTCCGTGCTGGGGGGGCGCTGCTGTCTCGGTGCTGGCTGGAGCTGAGGCCGGGTGGGGGGAGGATCTAGTCCTTGGGCAACAGTGGTGCTCCTGCTGTCCAGCTGACATGATGCTACCCCAACTTGGCTTGCAGGAGAGCGGGCCCTTCTTGGCCAGGTCTTGTCGGGGGTGCAGGTTGGGGGAACTTTTGCTGCCACCATTCAAACCCCGTGCGCTGCCCCAGTCACTGCTGTCATGCCTGCTTTACTCGAGCCCCACTCCTACCCTATCTGCCAGCTGCCTCTGGGAGCCTGAGGGATGGCTGCACCCTGCACCACTCCACTCCGCCATGGCCAGGGCTGGGCCGGGCCACGCAGTGTTGCACACTTGTGCACAGCTCTCCCTCCTCAGGCTCCTGGCGGTAGCTGCTGGGCCAGGTAGAATCAATCTGTGGGCTAGATATTAGGGATTTTTGAGGCCGATGCCGATAGCCGATATTTAAGGAGGCATATCGTCTGATACCGATCTGATATCCGATACACTGCCTGCAGCAGGTAAGTCTGGTGTGGTAGGAGAAGGGACGTGGTGGGGCAGATCAAGGCCCCGCTGTGAGGGAGGGAGGCAGGGGCAAGTACTGCCCAGTCGGGGAGAGCGGGCCGGGGATGAAGCCACAGCTCATCCGGGGGGCGTGGGGTGGAGCAGAGCTCATCCAGAGGGTGCAGGGGGAGGCGGAGATGGCTCCCGCCACTGTGTGCGGCTGGTCTGGCAGCTTGTCTGCTGGCTCCTGCCGCTGCTGCTGTCACTCACCTAGGAGGGGTGTGTGCCACTGGGCGGGGGCAGGCTGGGGCCAGGGCTGTTCCCCACAGAGCTTGGGCCATTTGGGCAGGGCATGGGGCGGGTGGCGGCGCTGCTGGGAGCGGGGGGCTGTGAGGGAGTTAGGCAAATTGCAGGGTGGCGCCAGCCTCCCCTGTAACCCCCTCCCAGCAGTGCCGCCCCACGCAGATCCGGAGTCTGGGGCGGTGCTGCTGGGAGGGGGGGA